AAACGCTCCTCCCCCCCCCTCCACCCCTCTCATCTTCGCCACCCCTCATTTCACCATTCGAGGAATGCGGGTCCGCATCCACCAAACACAAGAGAATAAAAGGTTCCCAAATGCGACTTCTCCAATTCTAAAATACATAAGACGCAAAAATAGCCTCCCAAACGGGGCCTCATTTTGACACCAAATATGATGGAGGTGAGTGGCTTTTTTGATAAAATAATGTGCTGAGATTTGTTATTGATTTTTGTTATTAGGTCTAAAGATATGATGTGGAGGTTTTGGTGAAATGTTTAAAGATTTAGGAGGGGATGGTGGCTAAACTACCAATACTAGCTTGTCTTAGACTAGTTTGGGTTGATTTAAAATATCTCATTGTAAAATTGGTATTAGATTTGGATAAAGGGCTAGAAATGATTATTGGTGGTTAGCTTAGGATGTGTTCATATGATCTCAAGTAGATGAGTTGTTTTGAATGGGTTTACAATGGTGTTGAGGATTAAAGAACATAACTAGTCCCTAATATTGTCTACTTTAGTCGAGAGGTATGAAGAGGGTTTCAGAATAATTGTGATGGTTTTAATGTTTGCTTGTTGATATTATAAGAAGCTTAAGATATGGATGAGGAGTGGTGAAAATTTTAGGAGCAAGTACTATAGAGTATTAGTGGATAACATAAAAGATAGACAAAGACAAATATCTAATCTCACTAAAAAAATGCAACATTTGAAGCCACCATGCATTAAGTACGAACAAGGGAATTAACACTCAAATATTTTATTCAACAATTAATCAAATGTCATTATAAATCAACCTTGTTTATAAAGATTACAATAATAAAAATGCCAATATAAGAAGGAAATTTTGAAAGGTGGTAGGTGGCCATTAATGGAGGAAGGTACTAACCATCTTTCTAATTTTTTTTGACTTGCCATGAAGCCTCGAAGTTTGAAAATTGAAACTTTCTATAAACTAAAATTGAAATATAAAAAATAAAATGTAAATTCATTTTTTTTAATATAGCTCTTTTGATGGCCTTTTATTAAACTCTTAATTGGGAGTTTCTTGAGCTCTTGCTTGGGCTCTTGTAAGTGAACCTTTGACTTCATTTCTTGAAAGTTTGAATATGTTTCAGCCTTTACTAAATTCTTATAATTTTTTATGATCTCATGCACCACTAATTCTCCTTCATAAAAATATAATCTTTATTTATACAAATAGCCTTACATTGTTGTACATCACTAAATCTTGAAATATTGAAGTTTACTCATAAAAATAATTTTATTTGTCTTTTAGGTACTCTCTTCTAATTCCATGACAATATTTCATTATATTTTTTATCTTATAATTTTTCATCTTAAAATTCAGAAGTAGTAATCGATGTTAGACACTTAAATTTTTATTTGGAATGATCTTACAATCCTTATATTCTTGAAGGTCTCTTTTTCTCATAAAAAATAATCAGTTTGTGTTTTATCATATTCATTATTATAATTAATAATATGTCCATCCTTTTTCTTAAATAAAATATTAACAATAACAAAAACATAAGTTGAAGTAAAATCTAATATGATTCTTTCTTCTTCATTAATCACTCCAAAATTATAGTTACCATGAATATTTCTAAAATCTTGTCATTCTACCAACATGTCCATTTAAATCTCCTCCTATAAAAAATTTTTACTCAAGAGGTATTATTTCTATTAATTCTTCTAGGTCATTCCAAAATTTTTCTTTTGAACATATATTTAAACTTACTTGAAGAAAATAAGCACTATAACATTGAAAATCTTAGTATCAACAATAATATTTAATTTTATAACTCTATCTCCAATTCAATTAATTTTCACAACATTATTTTTCAAATACTTATCTATAATTATACCTACATCATTTCTAATGTCACTCCCATTTAATACCAAAGTTTAAAATCTAAGCTATCAATCTCCTTGTACTTTTTCTCTAGCCCATTAGTTTCTTGAAGGCATAAGATATGTATCTTTCTATGAACTATAATATATACTAATTTTACTAATTTACCCGTGAGAGTGTTTATATTCTAAGATCCTATCATAATATTAGTTTCATGGACCAACTTTGTTGCCTACATCCATTCATAATGTGGAAACCCTTCCTTATTTAACACTAGACCCAGATGTCGGTGTAGCGACTCTTGCATACTGTGCATTGCTTCCAGGGGATGCTCTAGCATTTGCATAATAATTTAAATAATTCATGTTATGATTTTTCAACAATAATTTTATGCTAGCTGTCGACTACCACCTATTGCAATTTTCTATTTTTTGCATTCAGGGCTTGGGACCCGATAATAGTAGTGTTTTTTTTTTTTTTTTTGAGAAAGCCTAATGACTAATATATTAAATAGAAAGTAGCGTATAGATAGATTGTGTGGGAGGACCCAAGTATGACACCCTGCCCACAGGACAACCAACACATCAAATGGTTCCAAAAAGAGAAAATATAGAAAAAAACATGATAGATCTAAAGAAAAAACCAAAAAATGTCAAACTACGAAGTATCATGTAGCTAGAGAGCGACCCAATTTTGCCTTGCCTCTGCCTCTGCCTCTAGTTCTAAGGAAGGAGCCAGCTAATAAATTGTTCAAATGAGTGCCATTGCCAGTAGTAACCAATGTATCATCGGTATTAACTAATGTATCATCCAATAAATTCCCGAGATCGAGTCGGCATCCATTCTTCTTCTTCCTCCTGGAATAGACTTGTCATTCCTCATCCGAATATTGGCTCACTTGATCAGTGGATTGGTCTAAAGTGTGCTGAACTTGTGTAGGTTGTTGAACATTAGAAGCAAATGTTTGTTGTACCAGCTGATCTTTTATCGGATTGGAGGAGCACTTTCGCGAGTCTCGGCATTTAAGTGAGTCTTCTTCAATACAATAACAGTGAGTGGTATAATGACATTTGGATCTGTACTTATAGTATAATGTTCTTCATTTGGAACTGCGGTGTTGGAAAGGGGATTGGCTTCACCTTCTCAATAAAGATAGTAGATAGCTGATCTTTAACGATATTTGACCTTAGATGAGGATGCAATCGATAGCAAATAGTAGAATTGTGGTCAAACATACTACAATGTCAAACATACTAAACATACTACAATGAGAGCAATAAGGAGAGTGTGGTTCTATTTCAACTTTTTTGCCAATACCCGTTGTGAGTGATATCAATCAACACTTCATCCAGAGCTGGTTGAGTGATATCACTCTCAAATAACACACAAGCCACAGAGGGTATGGTGACAACAAGCGTAGGACTATCAACCTTGAGACAGTTACTGTTAGCAACAAAATTGACAGTCCACTTCAGAATTTTCATAAAATTGTTGTCGATCTTGATAATTTTTTGAAAAAAAATGTGAGTGTAATCGAAATCGTGAGATAACTGAATAAGTATATGTCGACCGTCAAGTAAGCAAATATTCTAACTGCCCAATTGCTTCATAGCATCATGCTCTTTCGGAATGATCTCTATTTTTGGGTGACCATAAAGGAATTTCTCCACTAGAGCAAAATGCCAAGAGGACGCAAGAGTGCTGGTTTCAACCTCAGTGAGAATAAGAGCATATTTTCCATTTTTTTGCAAAGTTTTTTAATAAAAGTATGATCACCACCACTTTCAAGAGCGTCAGCGTCGTGAAAAGATTGAGGAACATTGTAGGACTTTCCAATTGCTTTTTGAACAGGTGCTTCTTCTTCAGTAGTTTTACAGTTGTTTCTTGTAGCTGGCCCAAACAGACCCTTAATCAGCAAAAACTTGATCAAGATTATGCTATCACTCACTAAAATAACAGTCAAATTCTTGTTAAATAGAAAAACAATTATGAATTTGCCAATTTAAACGTAATTCATACTATATCTCAAAACCAATCAAATAATTATATAAATATAAATGAGAGTATTGTATTAAGTCTTTCTAATATCAAGTACTTGAACATTACATAGCTATAAAATATTAGTGAGTAGCCTTTACTAACATGCTTACGCTTTTGATTTTGTTGGAAGTAAATTTAATTAATAATTAATGTACTAGATCTAATTTTAATCTTTGTTATTTCATCTATACTCACCAACACGTCCCTCAATGTTTTGAGGTTTCTTTTATCATTATTTTACAAGATTATTTATTTTTAGTTTTTACATTGTAGATGATTATTTATTTTTAGTTTTTACATTGTAGTGTTTAGTAAAATAACTGTTGTACACTTTATGATGAAGTAATCTTAAATATTACTCAACTGATATAGAATAAATTTATTTACTAAATATAATACATAAAATTCATAATTTTCATAAACCATTTAACACTTAGAGCGGCTGTAGCTATATTTGTACAAGAATTCATAAAGATGTTGAAGGAAAATAACTTCTTTTAAAGTTGTTGCGGGTACAAGTACTTATAGACATGTAGATAAATCTTTTTTTTAGAGTTGCTCGGGGTGTTATAATTTTTTTTTTGTTTTGATTTAAAATGTTGAACAACATTAATGTAAAAACAAAATATGAAAAACGTTTCATACGGACCTTAAGGGTTCGTTTGGGACAGTTTTCTGGCTACTTTGTTTTTCAGACCTCCACCATAGTTCTGTTTGGTGAACAACTTTCTAGAAATTTCTATGGTACCTATTAAAATGTGATGGCTGCCAAAACTGCGTTCTGACTTTTTGAAATTAAAATAAACCTATGATAGTTACCACAGTTTTTCGAACAACAGTTTCTTATACAGTAACTTTACAACTGCTTTTTCAAACCGCTACCCCAAACAGATCCTAAATCTCCTTCGAAAAAACTCTATTCGGCATTGCTATTTTTTTTTTCTGAACAAGTAAACAAAATATGTTTAATTTATTTTTTTAATTCTGAAAATAAAAGTAGACATCAAAAAAGCATTATCAAGATGACCCTTATGGCAGCAGTGAGTATTACCATTTAAAATCACTTGACTACTATTACATATGCATCACAGGTATTGATAGGTTGTGATGGAGTAAATTCCGCTGTGGCCAGATGGTTAGGACTCAAACCACCATCATTCTCCGGTCGATCAGCTTGTAGAGGCCTCATAAACCCTCCTCAATCTTCCATCTTAAACCGCCGCCACATAGAATATTTTTTCGGACAAGGCTTCCGAGCTGGTATGTCTCACTGTGATGAGGACACTCTCTATTGGTTCTTCACTTGGTCTCCTTCAAATCAAGGTAACCCCATTATTTCAAAGTACTCTTAACACACACAACAAATGCATTGTTTGGCAGACATGTTCTTTTTATTTTATTTTTTTCAATCAAAATTGGAAACTTTAGATATGTAGCAGATAATTCATATTAATTTACATATCTCACATCAAAACTTTGATATTTACATTCTGTTTTAAACGTAAGCATGACAAGAAGTATTTTACATTTAGACAGTAATTATAGTGTTATTTTTTATGTGATATTAAAGATTTGAGTACTTTATGGTAAATATAAAAGTTTGGGTGTGAGTCTTATAAATAGACAAGACTTGTTTGCTGTGTTTGCAAATGCCCCATCAAAAGTCTATACAAACTGTTTTATGGGATGTACTTTTGATTCTTCTGTTATAAAGTGTATTTTTATGTACCCTTTGGGGTAAATAAAGATAAAACATGTCTATTTTTTAATCAAAACAACCTCTTTTTCATTGCTGTTTAAAAATTGAGCAAAAGGAAGCCTAACTAACGCTGATGTCAAAAACTAATAGAAGATCTCCTCATTGCCATCTCAGCTGAGAAGGAAGCAGAAGAAAACGCTCAGAAAATGAGAGAACTGATGCTGAACAAGCTTAAGAGCTCAAAGACGCCCAAAGAAGTGATTGAAGTGATTGAGAACAGTGATCTGAGCAATGGATTGGTCTCTGCTCCTCTGAGGTCCCGCTGGCCCTTTGATTTGCTGTGGGGTAATATCTGCAAGAATAATGTTTGTGTTGCAGGCGACGCTCTTCATCCAATGACTCCTGACATTGGCCAAGGTGGTTGCTCTGCTCTTGAGGATGCTGTTGTGCTTGCTCGATGCTTGGGTGAAGCACTTGCAGGTTCAGTTAATTATGTCGACTTGATTTCTTGCTGGTTGATTTCCTTGATTATCAGTATTTTTTACTCTTGCCTTTACTAATATTACTTGAATAAATGAAATTAATTCTAGTCCAGCCGATTACATCCAAACATATATATATATTGGAT